TGCCTGACTAAGTATTGATAGTTGTGTAAATACTGTCATACTAACAGCTGTCTGAATTATTTTGGTTGATTGTAATCTATTACATACCTTTCTATCAAAGTTATCTGACATTATCAAGCTGAATTTGTTCTGACACAGTTTAACTCTGAGTTCTTGTCATATTTTATTACCATTTTCTAAACTATAGCGAATAAACTGTGATAATGTGAGAAATGTTGAAGGTGTCTGAATATATTTTGGTTTGACTGTATCTATTTGATAAATGAAGTTAACCAACTAACATTATATATACTCTTTTGGTTTCTGTACCCAATATTTAAAAAATTTACAAATGCAATAAAAATATTGGTATCGGTACTCGGTATCGGCAAGTACCAAAAATAAAAGTATCGGTATCGGGCGAGTACTGGAAAAAGTGGTATCGGTGCATCCCTAATTTTTACCATGATTTTCAGAAAAATATCAGTAAAAAGTCATTCATAGAATCATTAGATTACATTAAAAGACTATTTAGGGATCACATTCCAGCTGCCAAATACGGATTAATTGTCATTTTAACTCTTCGCCACTATACTTTAAACCACTAGATTTTACCAATTTGTCAAAAACAAGATTTTAATCATTTAAAATACGATACAATTTAGCTTGATCACCTTTTCTTTTATATATTTTAATAAGTACAGGTCAGAATAAGTATGTTGTTTCATTTTTACATAACACTGAATGACGATGGAACATCTTTTGACATTTTATTTGCACAACATTATACCATTCAAAAGCTTGGAGTCAGTATAATTTTTTTGAGAAAGAAAATATAGAAATTAATACTTTTATTTAGCAAGGATGCTTTAAATTGATCAAAAGTGATGATAAAGACATTTATAATGTTAAAAAAAGATTTATATTTCAGATAAATGCTACGGAAGTCCTAAGAAGCCATTGGTTATTAATATTTTTCTTTCTTGTTTTCAAGTGATCACGACTTAATATTTTCTCAGGATTTCGACATAATGGAAGCTGTTTTTTTTTTTTAACAATGATTGTTTGATTTGTTTGATCTACTGTTGCTATAGTAACGAACGCAACGAAGCACATAAGATAGACTTACTGTATTAGCCTCAATCACTGTTGATATTTTTTTTCCAGAGACAGTACGCTAAACATTTTGTTTGCGTAATTAACATGTTTAAATGGTCAAAGCAACACCGCAAACACAGGCGGAGCGCCTTCAGACGGATGCAGAGAACTATTCTAAAATCTTTTAGAGCTGCTTGGATTGAACTCACTTTATTTTAATTTTGTTTGAAATAAAATTATATATAATTTAATTTGTAATTTTTAGTAGTCATGTAGGATATGCTGTGACTGATATAATGTGTGTTAAAAGCTTGGGATGCTGTTTGAAAAGTGTGTTTGTGTGTGAGAGAGAGAGTGTGTGTGTGAGTGTGTGTGTGTGTGTGTGTGAGAGAGTGTGTGTGGTTTCCACAAAGAAATGTACAAAAGATTACAACACTGTAGAACATCACTGAATTAAATGAGACTATACACTTTACATATAAATCACATTTCTTATCAATATACATTTAATGATTAACAATAAAGATTAAAAATAAGGAAAAGATACACATTACAAATACGTTGTTGAAGCTCGTCCTAGATTAACACAACATCCCCGCTTATTAACTAACAATCAAGTACTTCAGAGATGCACAAATAAAGATATAGGTGCAAACAGAATACTGTGACGTCAACCTTGGTTTTAATAAGCAGTTAGTTTATGAAACAGAACGTGGTGGTGAAACTCATGCATCTAGCAAGAACTTAACGATACACAAAATAATATTGATTCAAGCATTTAACATTTATTAATTAATTAAATGTCAGTAATGAACAATAATGCACAAATTATAGCGATCACGAAGAAGTTCTAATTCTGTCCCAAACGCATACAGTAAAGAGGATATACAGTAAACAACACCATCAGTTATAATCAGGTCTATACTGCCACCTGTTGGCACAGTTGTGTAACTTGGAGAACAACTTTCGTTATGTCGAGATCACGAGAAAACAAGAAAGAAAAAATATTAATAATCCATGGCCTCTTAGGACTTCCGTAAAATGCTGCTCTTCTGAACTTTCTATTCATCAAAGAAACCTGACAAAATTGTACTCCGCTGTTTTCAACATAATAATAATAATAATAATAATAATAAATGTTTTTTGAGCTGCAAATCAGCATATTAGAATGATTTCTGAAGGATCATGTGACACTGAAGACTGGAGTAATGATGCTGAATACTCAGCTTTGATCACAGAAATAAAT